TGGCCTCTGCCACCTCCTTCCAGGACATGACAGGCAGTGTGCTGGCCAGGGCCCGTGCCCATGCCACCAAGGCTCGGCAGCTGATGGATGAGCTGGTGGAACATGTGTCCTACAACACCCCCCTGACCTGGCTGGTGGGACCCTTCGCCCCATCCCTGGAGCACGCGGTGGATGTGGAGATGAAGTGACATCCTCTGGGGGTGTTGTCTCCTCCAAAAGCCTCATTAGGAGCATCTACTAACCCCTCCCCAGCCCATCTTGCCCCTAACCTTGTGCCTGTCTGTGTGGGGACCTGTCCTGCCTGCCCCATGCACAGCTCTGTCCTTGTCCCCTGCACTGGGGACCTGCAGTAATGTGCCTTGGTTCCCCCAAGTGCCTGGTGGGGTCACCTCCAGCCCCCAGTGGGGTCCCTTGTGTCCCTGTGGCCTCAATGCCTTCAAGTCCTTGGTTTTGTTGGGTAGGAAGAGCACAAGAAGCAATAAACTGGTTAGTTTTGCACTGGGCTGAGGTTTCTTTGGGGGTGTGCGAGGGTATCAGGGTGGGATTAAGCTCTGGAGGAACAACTCCACCCCAAAACCTGGGGGAGGGTATCAGGGTGGGATTAAGCTCTGAAGGAGCAACTCCACCCCAAGACCTGGGCATCCTCATGGCCTGGGCCCCCATTCCATAGGCAGTGAGCACCCCCAGGCGTGTCCCCTGCCCTGGTGGGACCAGGGGTGGGAGGAGCTGGGATCAGGAGTGCCCCAATATCCACCTTTAAATGCCCCAATATTGGGGGTCTGGGTTGTCCCCACATCATTCCCATCCCAAGGATGGGACTGAGCCTATAGTCCCACTCCAGGCCACCTCATTCCACCTCCCTCCTAGCCTCCCATTCCCAGCAGTTGGGCAAAAGGCAACACAGAGATGGTTTGGGTTTTATTTGGGTTCTGTTTACGTGGTGTGAAATCAGCCCTGGAAGAAGAGAAAACAAACTGTCCCAGGACAAAGTTAGAGCAGCCTCAGGGTGGGTCAGGGCATCCTCCCTCAAGGGTCAGGGCACAGAGGAATGGGAATGTCTTTCTTGGACATGGACAAAAGCTTTGGAGAGTTGCAAAAGAGCAAAGAGAGCAACAGCCTGACCTGCTGTGCTGTCCCTCCCTGTCAGGAGACAACACACCCTTTTTACTCTGGTTTTAGCCCAAAAATTGATGCCCAGCCTTGCTGCTGCCCTTGGGGCAGAAGGATCAGGCTCCAGCATCTGCCTCTGGCTGTAGAGAGGATGATGATGGTGAGGAGAGAGGCTTGGAGCAGCCCCTGGAGCAGAGGCAGAGCCCAGCACAGGTGCCCAGTGTGGCTTCCCATTCCCTCATCAGGTCTGGAAGGAATTTGGAGACCCATGAGGTTGTTTTCCAGCCCTAACTCTAGGCAGGGAGATGCTGCTCTCTCTCCCCTCCCCCTAATCAGCAATAACCTCAAGAAACAGACACAGTTGCTCTTTGTGTTTTCATTAAAAAACCCTTTTATATTCATTTCATGTCGGTTGTAATCACAAGAAATTAGGTGGGGGGGGGGAAAAAACCCAAAACGAAAGACAAAACAAAACAACCAAAAAAATAAAGAAAAAACAAAATAAAATCTCAAAAAAAAAAAGGGACAAATACAGACACCAGCACAGCCCCCCCCCGGGCAGTGCCTCCGCGGGGCCAGGGCACGGGACAAGACCAAGGACATCGGCTACGGTGTGACTTAGTGAAGTGACTCAAGGCGGGGGAGAGGCAGAGGCCAAGCTCCCTGCACAGCCCCTCTGGCTCCTCCTCCTGTTCCTCCTTTCCTCCTCCTGCAGGTGGGAGCTGCTTCCTCAGCTCTCCTCTGCGTCATCCACGGACTCTGACTCCCCCCGAGCTCTCTCCCGTTCCTGCACGACTCGCTCGGCCTTGGGATAGTCCTGCACGCTGCTGGGGGAGAGCACAGGCAGCTCAGAGAGTAATCTCCACATCCATCTGCTTTCCCTGCCCCTCTCCCACATCCCAAGCTGGGAAAAGCCTGACACAACCCTCCAAATCATCCATGCAGATGTGCTGTGGATCTAGGGGAGCTCCAGCTCCTCACACTCACTTGTTGTGGGGCTCCTCAGCAGATGTTTCTGGCTCTCCAGTTCCTGGCCCTTGGCTTTTGTCCTTCTCCTCTGTGCCCTCTGATTTTTGGGACAAGGATTCACCATTCACAGGACCTGACAGGTCTAAAGGGAAGAGAGAGAGTGAAGCTCAGGCACTGGGATTGCCTCATTCATCCCAACACACACAGGCTGAGGATTCACAGCCACAAGTTGTCCCCAGACACCCAACCAAGACCAAGGGGACCCCAAGCCTGGCTTGACCCCAAACCCTGTGAGAAGGACCCCAAAACTTCCATCCCCCCAGCCCAAAGGGTGGATTTTCCCTGTCAGCTGTCGGGAAGGCTCTTGCAGCATCACTGGCACCTGGCTCCAAGGGTGGAAGATCCCAGTCATCAGCAGCCTGTGCAAGAGCCTGAACCAGTGCCCAAGGTCATCTCCACATTCCTGTGTCTCCCTGGTGCCTGGAGCAGAGCTCAGGCTGGCAGGGAGGAGCCCGAGGCCCCCAGAGTCAGGGTGTGGAGCTTGAGGTTTGCCCTCTGCCCTCCCAGTGTTCCATATCCAGCCCTTTCCCACTCCTGGCACTCAGCAAACCAGGGTCTGGAGATGCTGATCCCATCCACCACTGAGGCCAAGAGCCACCCCTCCATGTGGGGATCCTCAGGAGGATGGGATGTGCCCCCAGAAGGGCCATGGGACAGAGCAGGGAACAGCCCTGGGATGGTCAGGGAACGTTACCAGCATTCGTCTCCTCTTCCCCCTTCTCATTCCGTGTCTCTGCTCCTGACAGCTTCTCCTGGCCCTTCTCCACCTCCCCCTTGTCCTTCTCAGGCCCAGATTTGTTTGCTTTCTGGATAGCCTCCAGCTTTGGTCCCAGCACACGTGACTTCAACCTGGTGTAGACTTCAGCAGCTTTCTCCATCACGTCCTTGTTGGCTTTATAGCGACGGATCTGCCCCGGGAAGCAGGAGAAGGAGGGACCCCCTTAGAGCTGGGGGGACCATGTAGGCTCCCCACTCCCTCCAGGGAAGGACTCAGCCCTCTCCTCTACCTTCTTCAGCGTGGCCACCACGTCTGTGTGCTTCTGGAGGATGTGGGAGGTGACCTGGAGCGTGCCCAACTCCTCTAGTGCGTTCAGACACCGCTTGATGTCCTGCAAGGATGGCACTGGGCTCAGGAGCTGCCTGGGAGTGTCCCTGTGGGCACTTGGGGCCACCCAGCACTCCAAAAGGGAGGAGGAGGAGCAGCCCTGGGTATCACAGCTGGACAAGGATGAGCAGAGATGTCTCAGGCCAGGCCTGTGTTGTGGCACTCACCGGATTATCCACCTTGAGGGCAAACTTGATCTCACTGTGAAGCTTCTGAAGTTTCTCTTCCACTGTGGGTTCTGGAGCAGAGAGAGAGAGACAGGACAAAGTGTTAGACCACCAACATTGCTCACAGGGATCTGCTCAGGATCTCCCCCAGCCTGGGTTTGGTGTCCTCCTGCATCTCCAAGGTCAAGCACAGCCAGCCCTGGAGACCTCTTCAAAGAGGATAGGTTGGCCAAGATGGGAAGAAGGTCTCAGGGAAGCTCAGTGTCTCTGAACACTGTAAATACTTCCAGATGTGATGATCAGTGCTGGGAAAGGCCCTGGTATAACCTCACCAAACCCTGTGGGACAGATCCCTCCCCATCCCAGGGATGGGGGAACCACTCCTGAATCCCTTCCCTCCTCTCTACCCCTCTGTGATGGGAAGTAGTGGTTCTCACCCTTTTTCTTCTCCATCCTCCTTTCAGGGATGGGGTCGGATTTCTTCCGGCCTCG